GGAAGGGGAGGAAACTGCAAAACTCACTTCCTCCTGAAGTGCGTTAATTTTTTTTCTACCTGCGAAACATGTTCTATGCAGACTGTGCTTGCCTCGGTGATAAGCAACCGGACTGAAGGGGCCTTGGGGGCTCAAAAACAAACCAAAAAAAAAAAAAAAAAGCACCGAATACTACCTTCCCTCCTGCCTTTTCAATTCTGGCTTCTGTTGACTTTTGACTTCTGACTTCTGACATCAGAAACCACAAATGAGTCAGAAATGTCAGAAATCAGAAGTGTCAGGAGTCAGAAGTGCCAGAAGACTCAGAACTTCAGAAGTGAAAAAAACTTGTTCTCGAAAACTCTCTTGTCGATAGACGATAGAGTGGATGGAAGCACTACAGAGGCTGCAGGAGATCAATGAGCGAGTTTTGGAGAACAATGACGAGCTTGACAAATGGCGTTTACCGTTGCAGACAAGTGGCATTAAAAGTTTATAAACTACCGCTACCTTTTCCCATGCGGGCCACCGTTGGGCCTCCGAATCTTTAGGAGGCCGAAACAAAACAACAGCCGCCGATGAGGTTTATCAACGGCAGCCATCGTCCGGCACGGCCTCTCCTTCTTGTTTTTAAGGAGTAGGATATTTTCCCGTTTTCCCAACAGCGGGAAAGGTAGTGGCGGTTTAAGCACCAGTACACCATGCATTAGCCCGCGGGTGTCAGCATGAAACCCGCACCACTTCGGAGGGCGCCAATTTTTTTCCTTCTTTCAATGGCGCCCCTGGCTGCACGGCCGCTCCGAGTTTTGCTTGTGGCTACCAAAAAATTATGCAAGGCAGCGGCCGTGTACTACCAGTTTTAGCGTTGCATGTCATGCTCAGGCAGTAGCAGTGGAATAGGCTGTAGCACGCAAGATGTCTATGAAGTTATAACCGCCACTTGCCAAGGTCTTCACTGATCTTGAAAACCACCCTCGTTGATCAATGGCGACCTACTGTCTTCACCCGAATACAACTTACGGTCACTACAGCTGTATACTACAGATGTATTTGGGGCACATTGGAGTCCCGATTCAGGAATAAAGACCCTACATTGTATGCGGGTCAAGACGGTAGTTTTTCCATCCACTCTGTCCACAAGTATTGACTTCTGTAACTTCTGAGTGCTGACACTGCTGACTACTGACATTTCTGACTTATTTTGTGGCTTCAACCAAAACACATGTGATGCACAGGCGATAACAGTAGAATAGGCTGGCCGCTGGAGCATGCAAGATGTCTATAGGATCATCCTCGACAGCGAAATTTGCACGCTATTTAACCACCACTACACCCATAAATTCAATCGGCGGCCTCCGCGGGCCCGTTTCCGAGCCCGATAAGGCCTTGGAGGCCGCCGATTGAATGTATAATCAACAGTGGCCACGCCGTGCCGCGCCGCGCCTCACGAGTTCCGGCGCTAAAGTGTGGTAATGACAAGTTTCGTTCTGCTTCAAGGCTGTGGGGCCGTGTACTGGTGGTTTAAGGGGGTTTGCATAGGAGGTGGGTATTGAGGATATAAGAGGGGTGGAGTCTTCCAGCGCCGTGGGCATGAAATACTCGATGTAGCCCTGTAATTGAGGTGATATTGCCAGAGAGGTGGAGCCTTTCACACAGCAAGAGTGGTTGTTTTTGCATGAAATACTGAATTGTTACACAGGAACGTGGATGGCACAAGCAGCTTTGATCTGCATCTCATCGCATGGGATGTCTACGGAGCAGCCTGCTCGCCATCTGGCGCACAGGATGCCGAGGGAGCAGCATGCTCCACATCTGGTCAAGATGCTATTGGCAGAGAAAAAGGCATTTACAGCCACGAACGATCGTTTTGCACCTGAATTGTTGCGCACACACACACACCAAAAAAAAAATTAAAAAAAAAAAAAAATGGCAGAGAAAAAGACGTTTACAGCCACGAGCAATCGTTTTGCACCTGAATTGTTGCACACACACACACACACACAGAAAAAGAGAGAGAGAGAGGGAGAGAGAGAGAGAGAGAGAGAGAGAGCACCACCAGGCATGGAGTCTTGATGGCCGGCGCACCGCCATGGTTTAAAGCCCCATGCCTGGTGGTGCCCTGTCCTTCTCTCTCTCTCTCTCTCTCTCTCTCTCTCTCTCTCTCTCTCTCTCTCTCTCTCTCTCTCTCTCTCTCTCTCTCTCT